ATATATACATATATACGTATATAATATGTCTGGCTGTATTTTTTGCAAGATTGTGGAGGGAAGTATCCCTTGCCACAAGGTGGCGGAAACCGCAAAGGCTCTTGCCTTTATGGACATCAATCCACTCTCTCTTGGCCACGTACTTGTGATCCCGAAGAAACACGCAGAGTTTCTGCATGAAGTGGAGTTCGACACGGCCGCAGATATGGGCGCGTTAACAGCGAAGATTTCCCGCGTTGTGGCGGCGGAGGGAAATGGGATGACGGCGTATAATGTCCTGCAGAATAACGGTAGACTCGCACACCAGGAGGTCCCTCATGTACACTTTCACATTATTCCTAAACGTAATGGAGATGAAGGACTTTGTGTGGGATGGAAAACACTGCCAACAGACCATAAGGCGTTTGCAGAAAAGGCAGAGAGCTACGTAAAGGCACTGGAGAAGTTGTGAAGAAGCATTATTTATCTGAGCGTTTTTTTTTTTTTTTCTTTTTAATCTTATCTTTGTTTCTCTCGCTGTAAAAATATATATATATATATATATATATATATCTGTGTCTGTGTGTGTTTCATTTATTGAGGGGGTATTTCTTTCTTTCTTGCTGAAAGACTTTTTGTTTGGAGTTGTTCTCATAAGCTCCTTAACCTTTTCTCTGTTGCTTGTTGTGTTCGTGCTCTCTCTTTCACACCTAGTGGAGTCATCTGTGAATTTGAATTTGCGTAGAGAAAACTGGTGTTTTTTTTTTTTTTTTTTTGTTTGTTTGTTTGTTTGTTTGTTTTCTTTCCCTTTACTTACACACACAGATATATATACATATATATATATATCTGTTTTACAGGAAAACATATGCGTACTTTCACTCTCTTTTTTTTTCTTATTTCTTTTTATTTCTTTCACTTTATCTTTTCTGATGCTTTCTCTTGCTAACGCTTACACCATTATTACATTTCTTTTGAATTCCTTCTTTTTTTTTTCTTTTTCCTTCGTGTTAGTCCATCATATTCAAGGGGCAAGAACGATCATTCAAGTAGGTTATCAACAACTATAAAAAGAAAAAAAAAAACACAAAAGAAAACACGTCTAATAAGGAAAAAAAAAGAAGAAAATGCAACAGCAGAATACCGGCAGCGCAAGGAAGTCTGAACAAGACGGAAAGGTCCGCCGCACTGGAGTGAAGCTCACAGAGCAGGATGAGAGACTGCTAGAAGAGCGTATTAGCGCCAACACGCTGGTTTACCCCAAACACTCTTTAGTGGCAGTCGCTTTTATCGCGGCCTTTCAGTCTGTGTATCTTTCACATGCTTTTAACGGATTGGACTGGTCTGTGCCGGCCAATCTTGGTCTCTACGTTGCCGTGATGCTCTTCACTGCCTATATGCTCTCGCAGGCATACATTGTGATGGTTGAAAGTGAGTTCTGGCGTCGTCAGCGACACTATGATGAGGTACCAGAGGATGATAAGAAGTTATTACATAAACTACGATTGCAGGTGGCTGTGGGATATTCCCTCTTTTTTATCAACAGTGTGTTCTCTGTGGTTTGCACAACGTTGCATATATATATATTCCGTCATTCGGACCCACGGGCGAGTTTTATTCTCTCGCCAACCATGACTGCCGCGTTGCTGTGGCTCATCGCGCAAAAGAATGAAGAGACACGCCGCCGCCGCATGGCACGACACAAGTAAATGAGTGAGAGAGTGTTTGTTTGTTTGTGTGCGTGAATGAATGAATGAATGAATGAATAGGGGAATGGTAAAGAAGAGAGAGGTGAAGGTAGACCCATGGTCCGAAAGAAGAAAAGAAAAGAAAAGAAAAGAAAAAAAAGCGAAGAAGAAATGATGAGGGGAGGTGCACATGTTCTCTACAACGGTATCTGTTCTTACTACACAAAGTAAGGGAAAATAGAGAGAACCGAAGCAAAAAAAAAAAAAAAAGAAAGAGAGAAAAAAAAGAAAATGGGCTGAAATGAAAAGAACAGCCCAAAGAAGAAAACAAAAAAAAAGAAGACGAAGAAGAAGAAGAATGAGAATGAAGGAAAAAGTTAGAAGATATAGTTTAGATGAATGAATGGATGGGGAAATCCAAAATGCATCACGGCCACCTCTCTCTCTGTGCGTATGTGTGTGTGCATGTGTGTGCGTCTATGTACATGTACATGAAAACATGTATCTACTTTCCTTTCATTTTTATCTAACTGTGTATTTGCGCGTCTTAAAGATGTAAGAAAAAACAAAAAAAAAAAGATGGTGCATGGTATATGTATATGTGTGTAAATGTCTCTGTTTTCATTCTACTGTAATGTGGTTCATTCGTTTTCTTTTTTTTTTTTTTCCTCTTCCCCACCCTCCTCCTCATCGTTCTGTTTTCTCAACTTGTGCAATTCTCTTGCTCGAGTAAAAGAAACGTGGGTCTTATCGCTCCAGGTGGCAGTTTCAGGTTATTGATTATCTGACTGATTACGAGCGAACGGAAGAAAAAAGGAAAGAAAACAAGAGAACAAAGAGAAAAAAACAAAAAGAAAGAAAAAAGATAAAGGCGCATAGATAGAAGAACACACAAAACACACAGAAAAAAAAGAAAAACTAAATTGAGTGTAGAGGAGTGATATTATTCTTTCATCGACTTCAAATGTCTCTTCAGCACTTTGCCTACAGCAGCGCTCCTGACGGGGATATTGGTGTTCTCACCGCCACTGCCTACACACCGCTATCATTGCGGGGATGTGCGGTGGAGGTGGAGGTGCGTGGAAACTGCGCACGCGTAAATGTACGGTATGAATACATGAATTACACCGGCAAAGAGCAGCAGGTGATTGCCGTCTATCCACTTCCATCCGACTGGGATCTTCTCGCCTGCCGCGCCGAACACAACGGTGACAGTGTTTTCACAAACACCATTCACACAAAGAGTAATCCTATCAGTCTTAATATGAATACCACCGGGAAAGATGATCTCGCCGTTGCCGCACAGGCATTGCCGTGGATTGTCGCTACTGGTGCCAGTGTGCTGGCGGCCGCAACTTATCACGTCCCACTTGACACAACTCGTTGTCGTGGAAATGTGCGGGTGCAACTGCCGGCGGAGTTGTTTCCACGCGTACGAAATCTTCCCTCCAGCACTCTCGCCTACGCCGCGTTGTTTGATATGAAAATACCGTCGAAACTCCCAGAGGGATGGACCATTGATGCGAAGTGTGATATGTTTGTCCCTCTCGCTGGTGCTGTGCAGGTGTACCCCGCATCTGCAGAAGCCTCAGCACAGGTGGAGTATATCGGCGACAGTGGGTTTACATTGCATTACAACACACCACTCACTACACAGATGCGGGATGGATTTGAGGTGAATTGTGTGGTGCGTGAGAGTGCGGAACCCATGCGTTTCTTTCTCGCGAGGGATGATGGAAAGGTGGTACAAGATGAGGATCGTTACGCCCTAACACTTGCCTTTACTCCACAACTTGAGGGACGAAGTGGCTGCATTGCGAATACAGAGTTGGTCTTATTGGTGGATTCACACAGTCGAGAAGCCTCTGCGGCGATGGCGCAAAGTATTGCTATTGCTGTACGTGGTGTACCCAACACCGTGCGTGTGAATGTGGTATTGGTGGGTACAAAGAATGATGTGTCTCTCTGTCCACGTGGTGCCATGTCCCTCACGGAACTTCCACTGGATCAAATCATTGCATTTGTGAAGGAAACCATGCCGCAGCCAGCGGGAACGGGTGAATCCAAACTCCATCGAGCCCTTCGCGCAGTAATGAAACAAGATACCCTCTCCCTGTGTGGACCGGTTTCATTCGGATATGTACGACATGTTGTTGTGATGTCAGATGAGGGCGATGCGCCGTTTGCAACGGAAGTCATCACGGAGGCGGTGTCTCATCGTCCTAATATGTGTTTCAGTGCTATTGGAGTTTTACTTGCGGGAACGGCGGAAATATCCATGTTGCGACTTCTTGCAGAGGAAGGTGGTGGTGTCTATCGTGATGCGGAGGATGCGCAGGGGGTAACGGAAGTCCTTGTAGAGATTCTCGCACAGGTGATGGTGCCAACCTTAACCGATATTATTATTCGCTTTGATGAACCGGAGGTGCGGGCCTCTGTTGGGAAAACACTACCGGCTGTGGCTCAAGGAACTCAACGTTTTGTTTATGCAATGGCTCCATCCTCGCTAACAACACTTGGTATCTCCGTGGTGGGTCGTATTGGTCCTACGGTTATTGAGTATATAGGAAAAGGAAATCCACAAGAAGTGATTTTCACTTCATCTACAGAACCGCAGAACCCTCTTTCGATTGGTCTCTTCCATCTCGCAGCGGCCTCTGCCAGAGTACGATACCTTATTGAGAACTCTGAAAACTCAGGACTCTCCAAATCGGAAGTACAAGAAGTGGCACGAATCTCCAAAACATTTATGTTACCATCACCATTTACAGAAATGATACAAATTCGACCCAGTGCCCCACCAACTTCATCAGCTCCAGTTCTGGTTGCCGCTCACTATATCCCACGCAGCCGAACATACATGCGTAGAATGATGCGATGCAAGCGGGAACAATTGGCAAACGGATCAGTGGACCGTCGCCCTCGAGCAAAGCCGTTACTTCCCAAACAAAAGGAAGAAAAAGGAAAAGAAGAAAAAGAAAGAGAAAGAGAAGAAGAGCAACTGCAAGCAATTAAAATTATACCAAGTGAAGGTGGGGAAACGGTACAACCATCCGCTGTGGACTATGTTCAGCTTTTGCCCCCATCAACAACTAGAGAGTTTCTACGCGCTATTGTAGTGGATGTAGTAGAGTCTGTGCTGTCTCCCCCAAGTTTGCAGCGACTCACGGCACTCCAAGCAGCTGATGGCTCCTTCCCACTCAACGCAACACTTGGCACCGCCGTTGGTATATCACTGGAGCGACTGGAGCGAGAAGTCCCACTTGATGGATTTGGTGTCAGTGAAGATATGACGGCTGCCAGAGATTATTTAAAAGTACATGAACGTGTATGGGCCACTGTTGTTGCAGCTGCGGTGATGGAACTGCGATCTCTCACTATTACGGATTTGGCCTACAAGAAGGCCCTCGCGTACGCCGCAAAGCATGACACTGAAGGGGAACTTCTTCGCCGTGCACGGAACCTCATTTCAAAGTCACCGTCTGTTTCGATATAAATGTACACAATATGAGGTGGAGAAGGAAACTTGTTGTAAAAAAAAAAAAAAAGGAAAGAGAAATAGTGTGATATTTCTTTTCTGTTTTTTTTTTTTTTTTTGCTGTTTCGGTGTCTCTCTGTGTGTTTGTGTATACGTTTCTGTTTGTTTGTCTCTCTGTTGGTCATGTTGGTGTTGTTATTATTGTTGTTCTTTTTTTTTTCTTTTCTTTTATTATTATTCCACGTTTGTATTTATTTATTTATTTTCCCCCTTCTACTTGCATGTCCATTATATTTCTCTTTTATTTTCGAGTGGAGGGAGGAAAGAATCGACTTGCAAAATGACCTGCAAGTCGAAACTCTTTCGTACTGAAAGAGGAGGCGGCTTAGCAGAAATATGTACAGGTGGTGTATATCAAGATGCTGTATTTTTCTCTTTCTCTCTTTGAGTGTGTGTGTGTGTCGGTTTGGTGAGAACTCCCCTCACTGCCGTATGTCTCTTCATTTATATATGTATATTTTTTTTTTTTTTGTCTTTTCTTCTTTTCTGATCTAAGAAGCACTATCATTGGTTATATCATTTTTTTTTTTTTTAATTCACACGTGTATATAGATATAGATATATATAATAATAATAATAATAATAATAATAATAATAATAATAATAATATCTGCCCCTTTGTATTGGGTGGGGTGAATGCTGCGAGCTCAGTATGGTACTGTGACTGAAGCGCATATTACTTTGGAGGATGACGATTTGAAAAATCCTGGTACTGTTGAGTTTGACGAAGAACTATTAAACGATGCAACAAAAGCAGCCTTTGCAGAGCAGCTTTGGGTATCTGCAATGCAGTTATTGATGCCGTTAAAGTTATTACTTGTTCTTATTATTTTACCCTTACTCTTAGTTATGCAATTGTTTTTCCCATCCGGGGCGACGGCGGATGCGGTATGCTGGTTGCTGGCACTAGCAGCTGTGATGCCCATTAATGTTGTGTTGGTGGAGTACATGGATGATATAGCGACTCGCTTCAATTCAGATGAAATGGCGGCAGTTATTCGCATATTCGCTGAACATGCCGCAGAACTCCTTGTTTCGTTTCTTTCACTCAGTCATAGAGGAGGACAACAGGCACTTTGGGTAAAACCATTATTGTTTGGTTGTATGTTAGCTAGTACGTTGATAACGGTTGGTGTGGGTTTATTGTTTGCCATTCCATCCGAGAGTACATACCGCTTTGGGGCATCTGTCTGGCGTAATTTTCGTTCACTTCTTGTTTTCACTAGTGTGTGTTTTGTTCTACCAACTCTATACTCGGTATCTGCACGTATATCTCAAGTGGGAAATAATAGAAACCCAGGAGCAGAAGTGGCATTAACGCAAGTAACAGATGATCTTCAAATGTCACGTTTCCTCGCATTATTGGCTATTGGTGTGTACGTTTCGGTTCTTGCAACTGGACTTGGATCTAGGACTCACTTGTACACATCCGCAGGGAATGCTGTTACGCCTACAAGTCTTACATATGTTATCCAGTATTTACATACTGGACAGGAGTATAAGGATGCATGCCCTATATTTGAAACACGATATTCCATTGATTTTGCTATTACAGGAGCAATTCTAACTTTTACTCTATTACTAGCTGTTTGTCACATTCTTGTAGATAAGATGGTACAAGCTTCTCATCTCTTATTCATGCCATTACCATTTGTAGTGGTTGTGTTGATGCCATTGGTGTTGCGGGGTGGTAGTGTCTGTGGGGCGGCATTCATGGCATCTGTTGGTCGTCTTGATATTGCCGTTTGTATGGGATTAAGTAGTGCCCTGCGTATATTCCACATTGTATTACCACTAGTTGTGTTGATCGCATGGCCATTAGGTCACCCGGTGGATCTCGTGCTACATCCTTTTCTTGCCGGTGTGTGTTTGCTGCTTATCGTCATGGTCTCACATCTTGGCAGTGAGGGAACTCTACAGCGGGTGGATGGGATTGTTCTTGTGGCCTTTTATGCACTAGTGACCTGTGCGTGTTTATTAGGGGGTAGTAAAGCTGTAATGCTTGGGATGTAAAGAATGAGAGAGAAAGAGAGAAGGTGAGGAGAATGTATAAGGAGGGATTGGGCGAAATGAATGGATAAATAGATGGAATGCATAGAGGGAAAGGCAATGGGGGGAAGTATGAGTGGAGATCAGTTTCTTTTTCTTGTGTGTGTGTGTGTAAAGTGAGTGAGTGAATGAATTTGTGTGTATTCTTCTGCGAAAAAAAAAAGGAGGGTCCACTTACTGAAACAACTCTTGTAAATAGCACATTTGTGTATAACAAGACTTAACCACATATATATATATATATATATATATATATATATATATATATATATATTACATCAAAAAGGCATACTTCTATATCCAATATGGTCTTTCCCCCGTTCCTTCTCTTACCAGCGATTGATCTGCTCTAAACGAGAGCAAATATCTTTTTTCTTTTTTTTTTTTTTATATGGTTTTTCTTAACTCCATCCCAACATTACCCCATAACTCATTCTAACACAGATACATACACAGTGAGAGAAAGAGAGAGAATGTGAAAAGGAAGAAAGAAAGAAAGAAAGAAAAGAAAACTCTACATATCTGGTTGAGTATAAAAATAACAAAAATTTCTTTTTTTCGTCTCTTTCCTTTTCTCTCTACTGCTATTACTGTTGTTCTTGCCTTTCTCATTTCTCTTGTTTACTCGATATAAGATGTTGAGGGGTGGGCGTTGTTCCTCACGTACTTCGAAGAATAGGCGTTTAGCTGGATGGTGGGTGCTTCTATTAGGTTCGTTATTACTTTCATTGCTCTGCTGGTGTCTCCTCGCCGTATCTGTAGACAATGGAATAAAAATACCACTTCCACACTCAGATAGTAAAAGTGGTATCTATCTACCACCACCTCCCTTTCCTTCTTCTTCTTCTCCTTCTCATCATCCTCCTCCTCCTCCTGTCGCTACGGATGGTGTTAGTAATGGTAGCATTGGAATTATTAGTACTCTTGGTGATGGTGGTGATGGTGATGGTAATAGTAATAATAGTGGTGAAAGACCGTGGAATGTACACCGCGGTAATGGAATGGCTGGTATTGGTCCAGATGCAATCTCCTCATGTCGATCATCTATTTGTCGATTCTGTGAGGTAATGATGTTAAACAACACAGAGAGTGTCCTTCACCCATCTGTGTTGGCATACATCCAGCAATATGTTATGATTGGTGTTGTGACAGGATCCCATGATAATTTTTTCCGTGTGGACCTGGCACTCTGCACATGGCTTGGACACATTGCAGCGAAGAATCTTTTTATCTTCACAGACACTGCCAACACCTCTGATGGGCGTCACGGTACGTGGATAGAAACAGATAACACCACCGCATCAAAGCAACTTCATAAAAGGATGTTACATCGAACGGGTTACTCTGTTGGATGGATGCGGGCCCAATATCGTTTCTTTCATGCCTTTAGTCACTTTGCGAATCTTATCAATAGTACAGATGCGTATTACCGTCATGTGCGATGGCTTATTGTGGTGGATGATGATTCATTTATTGATCTTCATGCCCTCGTACGTTTTCTCCATCGTCGTGATTTAAGTAACTTAATCCGCATGCTTGAAAGGGGAAAACACGCAGAACCCACACTTGTGCAAGAACGCTGTCATCACCCAGTGGGTGCCACAGCAGAGGAGATTTCTCGCTGTATGGCTTTACCAGAAACAATGGCATACTTACAACAACAAAAACAAAAACAACAAGAAGTAGAAGAACAGGGGAAAAGTGTTCCGCGCCGCAGTCTGTCTGATCCCAACAGTGAGGCACTGATGATAGACAGTGCCATGTGGAATATCACCACCGCATTACTGCACAGTCCCGCTAGTGTGGCGGCATTAGATCCCATCTACATTGGCGATCATGGATGGGGCGGTGCCGGTCATTATATGAACACCGCCGCCCTGCGGTTATTTGCCCAACACGGTGAGGAGAAATGTGTGCAGCGGCATCTCATCCACGGCCGTCTGGCCAGCGACACCGCCCTCCACCGCTGTCTGCCGTCGCTCGGCATACATCGCACCGGCGACACGGTGCTCTCACACTGTCAGGCACGATTTCTGCAGCGGCGGATGTTGGATGGGGAACTGGTGAGTATGCATGCGAAGCGTGATGAGGTGCTTCCGCAGTTTCTCGCCATGTGGAGAATGCGGTTATATTATCAAGTGATCTATCACCGTAATCACACAGCCTACAATGTGTTAATGCAAGTGGGAGCTTGTGCGTATGGGTATACGTGCAAAACGCGCAATTGTAGGAAAGAAGAGGATGCCGCTGCCTTAACTGCATTTACCCAACTGAGCAAAAACAATACTCATTTGCCATTGTACTAGTTATTGCTTTAGGTGTGAAAAGAAAAAAAAAAAGGAAATATAATGCTCATGTAACTTTATTCTCTTGATTCATTTCACCGTCTTTTTTTTTTTTTTTTCTTTTCGTGGAGGACGAGAAGAGGGAATAAAGGATATATATATATATATATATATATATATATATGGTTTCTCATGAGCATTGTTATTGTAGATTTCCTTCAACTTTAACGCATATTCACGTTAAATTCCTACCCTCTCTCTTTATATTTGCATTCTTTTTTTTTTCTGTTTGTTTTTGTTTGTTTTTTTATTTATTTGCATTTTTTTTTTTTTTTCGCCAGTGCTTCTGGTGATTGTATTGCTTTATCCCCTCTCACTGTATTGGTGTATTTGCTGCTGTTGCTGTTGCTATTTATCACTGTTTTGTTTCTACTCCCACTCCTCCATTGTGCCATTGGCCTGTAAGCTTAGCACGTGAAAGGAGACCGCTCTTCGCTAACACCACCATTAGGGAAGAGAGGAGGGGAAAGAAGAGGAAAACAAAGAAAGAAGGGAAAAAAAGAAAAAAAAGGAAAGAAAAAAGATAGATAGGCAAATAGCGTCTCTGCGTGTTCTGGGGTGTGGGGTTCTGTGTCTGTAAGTGTATTCGTGTCAGCGTCTCTGTGCGTTGGTGTGTTTGTGCCTTTGTATAAAGAGAGAAAAAAGGGAAAAAAAACAAGCAAATAAAAAAGAAGAGAGAAAAACAAAAACAAAAAAGAAGGCCCAACCACTTTCACTCATATACACTATATATATACATATACACGCACGCACACTCCTGTGGCAAATTTACCATCAACGGCCGTGATCCCTCTCTTTTTGAGAGAAACGGAGATCAAACCAGTTAAGCACGGGAGCGTCTATCCATTTGACCACTACCACTACCGACAGCAGTAGCAGTAGCAATAAACAAGAAAAAAAAAAGGCAAGAAGATTTATTTTTCTTTCTCTTGAGATCTTCTCTTGCCTTTTTCTTTTTTTTTTTTTTTTCTAAGCTCCTTTCTGTTGTTTCCTTTTCCATTTATATTCCTGCCAAATGCCAGAGGTTGGGCTCGATCGCGGGTTTCTACACCGCTGTTGTGTGCAGGTCTCATCCGCCCTCACAGATGAAACCGCCGTCTCCGCCGAGACACAACACACTCTGCGTTTTGTTCGCGATCACGCTCGAGAGTACCCGGGCGAAATTACACGGGCGCTGGTTTGGCGTATTGTAGACACTGACGATGAGGAGGTGGAAGACCGTTTAGGTGCATGGTGTGTACTCAACGCCGTACTAGCGGAGTGTGCAGATCATAAACAAGCCTTGTCGTGCACCGCCGTTGCGGAGAAGATCAATCTTTTCCTTCCATACCTTGTCTCTTACCGCTGGTATTCTACCCGTACGGCGTCTTTATCAACAAGCACAAATCAGGGAAAGTCAACTTCTGCACTGCTAAGCGAATATGGCAAAGTGGTGCCTGCGTCTGTACTCACAGGCGATGACTCCCGTTTGGCAGATATACACAAAGAACGTGAAATTATGTCCAAATACCGTGGCTTCCTTGTTACGTGGAAGGCAGTTTGGCGACATGATGTCTATCAACATCTTAAGGAGGTGGTGCGTCAAACGGAACGTGAGGGAAATAGTCTCCCATCAAAGGAGAGACCGTATCTTGAAATTCCTGCAACGTTTCGTGATAGTTTGCGACGATTACGCCGCAAAAACCCTCGTCCGTCTATAGCTTATCATGTTCTTCTCAGCTATGGATGGGTACCTCCTACAACGGAAGGAGCTGTAGATACCAATAATACCACTACTACTACTACTACTACTAATAATAATAATAATAAAAATAATATTAATAATAATAAAACTATTACTACTACTACTACTACAAACGGCTATAATGAAGGTAAATTCAGTAGTAACAACGATTACGCCAAACGTTGTGCTGTAGTACCTACAAGTGTAGCAGAAATTGATGAACTTGATCCTGCAGCTCACCCCCGTGTACGACAGTGGCTAAAAAAATTGGTGGAAGAGAAAGGTGGTTGCCGTTTATGTGATGTATGGCAACACACTGAATTACGTTGTCCATGTGAATTGCCGTTTCTTAAAACTCCAATAGCAGAAAGTGATGGTCACCATAACTTTTTTCGACGCCGACGATTTATAGAGCGAACATCCATCACATATGTGGAAGCAGTGGAGAAGTTATTCCGTTATGGTATTCGACTTCCACTTGCCGTTGATAAGGCGTTAGATCGCGTTGTCTCACTTATTAAAGAAGACTCTCCCTATGAGGAGTTTCTTGAGGCATTTGATACGGTGCGTGGTGCTGTTACTGGTCCACTTGAACGACATGCATTGTGGTTACATGCAAGTTACATGTTAATGCCCTCACGAACGGTGTTTGATAAACCAAGTGATGATGCCCTCAGCCCTGCTATGGAAAAGGCAGAAAAACACTTTAAAGTTCATCGACGTTTTCGTGAATGGGATCAATTACTTCAAAGCGTAGAAGTATTGGACTGTCAATACCGCCGTGCTGAAATGCCACAATCTGTACGCCGCAACATTGAGGAAGTACGTGAAACGAAATCCTTCTTTTTCTGTTTGATTGATGGATCCATGACGGCGGAGTATTCCCCACCGGCGTATGCACGTGTTCCTGAAGAAGTTCAACAATTACGACCCGTGAAGGATGTGTTGTGTGGTGTCTGTTTGGAGCCCTTTCACACAGCCGCCCGCTGTACAAAAGGAAAAGAACCATGGGATCTCGCCGTTGCCCGCGTTGTGTTAGATGAACACCGTCTACTTGGTATGAAATACCCAGAGGAACGTCATTTATTGGATAAAGCCCTGCGCAGTATTGATGAGGATGATCGAAAGGCTAAAGAATTCCGTAAGAAGGAATTATCTCTCGCCGTGAAACTTGTACATGAGGGACGTGTACCTTATTGTAAATCCTGTGGTATTATGGGACACAGTATACGCCGTTGTGAGGAAACAGCACGTCGTACACTTCACCGACATCACATTAAGGAAGTGGATATGCGACTCAATCCACATCTTGTGCAGCGTAAGATTAAACAATTACGAGAAGAACATGATGAACGGGAGGAACGGTTTCTCACAGATGCATGGGAGTTACTGGGAAGAGGACATACATACCCAGAGAGTTTTCTCACCAGTATTAATGAACTGGAAGACGCGCATATTCCGTTAGCAGCAGCGCGCTACAGTACAGATGCCGTACAAGGATTTCTTCTCTTTATTAAATCCAGTGATCTTCTTCAGCATTTGCAGCCACTTCGTGATGAACGATTTCCCGAAGTGTGTCTTTTCTGTGACTCCTATCATCATAGTTCAGATCTGTGTGAACGTGCTAATGATGAGGAACGTGGATTCCTTACAGAACTTCGACGGTATGGTCTAACCCTATGGCACTACCTACGCTCACCTGAGCGGTATGATGAGCGATTTCCAACGGACTACACAAAAGGTCGAGAAACAGTTGTTGGACTTGCACGGCAATTTGAGCAAGATTACAGTCCTGGCGGTGTGGCCCGTGGACGGTTTCTTGAGAACAATGGCCTTGATGGAGAGGGAGCCGCAAGTACATCCGCAGCTGGGACTAGTGGAACTATGGGTATGGGTATTGGTGGTAGTGGTAGTAGTATGGTCTCGCGGGGATGTTCACAACACTCTTTTTATGGGGCCTCTTCGTATGGAATGTCATTTTCGCAACTCGTCCTTCGCCCTGTAGAGACGCGAGAAGAGGGAGACACTGCAGTTGACATGAATCGCTATCCCAATCACAACCATGATAACAATAGTAGAAGCAATAGTAACAGTAATGGGAATGATACACATGCTGTCGAGTTTGCAGAAACAGGAGATTACATTCTTGGTGGCGGTGATGATACAGTGATACGTGAGGTTGCAGGCGGGCATGGCGGTAAACGCGGTCGTGAGAATGACACCGACTCGCAAACAGAATCCAACCATAATAAGAACAGCCACAGTAATAGCAATAGTAACAGAGGTGGCAGTAATAACTCCGAACGTGGGCAACATGAAGAGGAAAATGGAGATGGGGGGTTCAATGAGAACCTGCAAGAGGGAATACACGGGGATCAACAACATCATCATCATCCACTGAAGACGGAAGATGATACAACAGAGTATGTGGCGCAACGGCCTCGTGTGGAACTGCACGCAACAGAAGAAGCGTAATAATGTACCCATCTATCTATTTATCTATCTGCATATAAACTAATATATATATATATATATATATATATATATTTAGAGAGAGAGAGAGAGAGAGAGAGAGAGAGAGAGAGA